GGCTTTGTCTATAGGCCTCAAGCAAGTGAGGATATTGAAATGGTCCTTCCAGAACTCCCTGAGGGTTAAATTTGTTTCCAATGTGACTTCAAAGCATCTTTCAAAAAGTGCTTTAGTGTAGAGTTTCTTGAACTTACAATGGATCTGCTGGTCCATGGGCTGGATAAGAAGAGTGGTGTTAGGGGACAAGAACTTCAAAATTATAAAACTGAACTCCTCCAGCAACTTGTTTTCCAAGCTTGGAGGGTGAGCAGGAGCATTATCCTTTAGTAATAAGTAAAAGGGCCCTGAGTGGCAATTGTTTTAATAAAGTACTTTTTGAGAGTAGCAGAAAAGTCCACTTTGTCCCATTCTGTATATGCAAAAACTTGTACCAAGAGAACATATGAAAACCAAGACATTTTTTTCTCAAACACCTCATTCGAAACCTGACTTATTTGACAAGTAATGCAATCGACAACCGAGGTTCGACTGTAAAACAATATTTACTGAAAGGACAGTGTAAATGTGGAGAAAAATGAAACATGCCACTGAAGCAGTACACCATCTGCCATCAAGCTCAATTCCCCTACTACCTTTACCCCTTTTGTGAGCTGACATATATGGACAAGTCTCCATGTATCTGCTACCTCTTTTTACCTAGCACCATTTACCTGGGTGTCAGACAGCCATTGTTGGGTGGCATTCTGGGGAATGAAAATATACCTTAGACAGGTTTGGGCTATGAAAAGAACTGAGATAGGATAACAGCTCTTAGCCTGTAAATTCAATGGCATAACAAAAAGTATAATTAGTGAATACAGAATGATAAATACACTACAAATGCTAAACCTAGCCACAGCAATTAAGAAGTTACTCAGTATTATTCATTAATATAATAATAATAATCTTTATTTCTACAATAACATATACCATGTATACAGACCTAGCTGCCATCAATGACATACAAAGCCCCTTGTTATGCAGAGCATTTCAGGCAAATTATATTAATTTTGTTCCCCACAATGCAACCTACACCATTTGGCTAGCACCCAAGTATCTAATTACCACTAGGTGAACAGGGACAGCACTTGTTTTAAGGAAACATGCCCCAATGTTTCCACCTGTACCGAGGATCAAACCACAAAACTCAATGTGTGAGCTGAAGTATTAGCAACTGAGCTACAGGACACCTTAAGGCATCAGATACAAAAGCAGTGCTAAAATGTTTATAAACTATACAGAATACATAACAAAAACATTGTACAAGCAGTCAAAATCATAGGATCTATAAATGCCTTACTTAATAATTATGTACAGTATAATGTATCTGAAACAGGTGAAATAAACACAATAGCTAACTTATAATTATTACTATTACTTGAGTTACAATATTTGTACAGAAAACTATATAATAAATTAATAGTCTATCTTTAGACATGGCTATAAAAATGCACTCGTCCAGGAGACACATGTTCATGAAATATTTGTCCATGAAACACATGTCCTAGGAACATATGTCCATGAAATACATGTCCTAGGGACATATGTCCATAAAATGCATGTCCATGACACATTTGCCCATAAAACACTTGTCTATGAATGCATGTCCATGAAACCCATGTCAAAGAAACGAATGTCCATGAACCACACGTCCCTGACACCCTCGTCCATGAAGCACATATCCAGGAATGATGAGCATAGAGTATCAGAAGCCTGAGCAGTTCAGCTTCTAGGTTTTGCCTATTATAAGAGAGTTTACTAATTAGAGTTGATACCACTCTTGTCTACCTCTCCTGCTGACAGGTGGGATGTTGAAATACCATGGCAGCTGAACGCGGCTCTCTTGATATCATACAAATTAGTGAGGATAATAAAAACAAAGCCATTATCATGTTTCAACAGCAATTGAGTCCATTACAAATTTATATAAAAATGTTTAATCACTTTTCACTCACAAGGAGGAAAGAGGAGGATTGCTTAGTATTGTTCTTACCCATATATTAACTGCAGCCATGAATACTGGTACATAAATCACACCCTTTCCCATAATATATCCACTTACTAAGAATTTTAATGGTGAAATGTTTAGAAAAAAACACTTGCTTATTTATGCTTCCCTTACATTTTAAACATGCAGAAACAAACATGCATACAGAAAAATTTTCAAGTAGAATTTTGCAGAATTATATTTTGGCTTTTGAAGACTTTGCTAATGTTTAAAGCTGCCTGAATGAAAGATACTGAAGTTTTCATTCAACAGATCAACATGAAAGGTTTACGGTACTAAATATTAGTAGCTGATGTCCCTCTCTCAGTTAGGTTTTGCTCCTTGTGATTTATTTACAGAATAATATTAAAGCTGATTATAAAATCTTAAAATGTTTTTCCCGCAATTAAAATAGTCAAATTCCATTATTAAAGCTGATTCTAAAATCTTAAAATGTTTTTCCTGCAATTAAAATAGTCAAATTCCATTAACCCGAACTCCTTGGGGTTTCACGTGGTGTTTCAAATTATGTACTGGCTTAACCACAGCATTACTCTAGACAACCCCACCAAGCAGAAATGATTTTCAATAGATTTTCTCAGCTAATTTTCACAAACTGCATTCACAGTCTGTATCTTCATTTTATCTTCATATGCATTACCATTTTGTATCTGTTTATGTAATTTATATATGTTGGCTCACAAGTGTATGGTAATAATTAGTTAAGCAGAGTAAATATAAAATATATGAATGTTTGTGGGGGTGTTTGTGTGCAGTGTGTGGTCAGCAGGTTAGATGGAGAGAGAGAGATTTTGGGAGATGTTAAGTGAATGTACAGGAACCTTTGAACCAAGTGAGAGAGTAATTGTGGTAGGGGACCTGAATGCTAAAGTAGGAGAAACTTTTAGAGAGGGTGTGGTAGGTAAGTTTGGGGTGCCAGGTGTAAATGATAATGGGAGCCCTTTGATTGAACTTTGTATAGAAAGGGGTTTAGTTATAGGTAATACATATTTTAAGAAAAAGAGGATAAATAAGTATACAAGATATGATGTAGGGCAAAATGACAGTAGTTTGTTGGATTATGTATTGGTAGATAAAAGACTGTTGAGTAGACTTCAGGATGTACATGTTTATAGAGGGGCCACAGATATATCAGATCACTTTTTAGTTGTAGCTACACTGAGAGTAAAAGGTAGATGGGATACAAGGAGAATAGAAGCATCAGGGAAGAGAGAGGTGAAGGTTTATAAACTAAAAGAGGAGGCAGTTAGGGTAAGATATAAACAGCTATTGGAGGATAGATGGGCTAATGAGAGCATAGGCAATGGGGTCGAAGAGGTATGGGGTATGTTTAAAAATGTAGTGTTAGAGTGTTCAGCAGAAGTTTGTGGTTACAGGAAAGTGGCTGCAGGAGGAAAAAGGAGCGATTGGTGGAATGATGATGTAAAGAGAGTAGTAAGGGAGAAAAAGTTAGCATATGAGAAGTTTTTACAAAGTAGAAGTGATGCAAGGAGGAAAGAGTATATGGAGAAAAAGAGAGTGGTGAAGCAATGTAATAAGAGAGCAAATGAGAGAGTGGGTGAGATGTTATCAACAAATTTTGTTGAAAATAAGAAAAAGTTTTGGAGTGAGATTAACAAGTTAAGGATGCCTAGAGAACAAATGGGTTTGTCAGTTAAAAATATGAGAGGAGAGTTATTCAATGGAGAGTTAGAGGTATTGGGAAGATGGAGGGAATATTTTGAGGAATTGTTAAATGTTGATGAAGATAAGGAAGCTGTGATTTCGTGTATAGGGCAAGGAGGAATAACATCTTGTAGGAGTGAGGAAGAGCCAGTTGTGAGTGTGGGGGAAAATTTCGTGAGGCAGTAGGTAAAATGAAAGGGGGTAAGGCAGTGGGATTGATGGGATAAAGTAGAAATGTTAAAAGCAGGGGGGGATATAGTTTTGGAGTGGTTGGTGCTATTATTTAACAAATGTATGGAAGAGGGTAAGGTACCTAGGAATTGGCAGAGAGCATGCATAGTTCCTTTGTATAAAGGCAAAGGGGACAAAAGAGAGTGCAAAAATTATAGGGGGATAAGTCTGTTGAGTATACCTGGTAAAGTGTATTGTAGAGTTATTATTGAAAGAATTAAGAGTAAGATGGAGAATAGGATAGCAGATGAACAAGGAGGCTTTAGGAAAGGTAGGGGAGTGTGGACCAGGTGTTTAAGTGAACAGTATTTAGATAAGGCTAAAGAGGTTTTTGTGGCATTTATGGATTTGGAAAAGGCATATGACAGGGTGGATAGGGGGGCAATGTGGCAGATGTTGCAGTTGTATGGTATAGGAGGTAGGTTACTGAAAGCAGTGAAGAGTTTTTCGAGGATAGTGAGGCTCAAGTTAGAGTATGTAGGAAAGAGGGAGATTATTTCCAAGTAAAAGTAGGCCTTAGACAAGGATGTGTGCTGTCACCGTGGTTGTTTAATATATTTATAGATGGGGTTGTAAGAGAAGTAAATGCGAGGGTCTTGGCAAGATGCATGGAGTTAAAAGATAAAGAATCACACATAAAGTGTGCTCTTGGGAGATTCTGATGAGAAGTTACAGAGGTTGGTGGATGAATTTGGTAGGATATGTAAAAGAAGAAAATTAAAAGTGAATACAGGAAAGAGTAAGGTTATGAGGATAACAAAAAGATTAGGTGATGAAAGATTGGATATCAGATTGGAGGGAGAGAGTATGGAAGAGGTGAATGTATTCAGATATTTGGGAGTGGACGTGTCAGCGGATGGGTCAATGAAAGATGAGGTGAATAATAGAATTGATGAGGGGAAAAGGGTGAGTAGTGCACTTAGGAGTCTGTGGAGACAAAGAATTTTGTCCTTGGAGGCAAAGAGGGGAATGTATGAGATTATAGTTTTACCAACGCTCTTATATGGGTGTGAAGCATGGGTGATGAATGTTGCAGCGAGGAAAAGGGGCTGGAGGCAGTGGAGATGTCATGTCTGAGGGCAATGTGTGGTGTGAATATAATGCAGAGATTCATAGTTTGGAAGTTAGGAGGAGGCGCGGGATTGCCAAAACTGTTTTCCAGAGGGCTGAGGAAGGGTTGTTGAGGTGGTTCGGACATGTAGAGAGAATGGAGCAAAACAGAATGACTTCAAGAGTGTATCAGTCTGTAGTGGAAGGAAGGCGGGGTAGGGGTCGGCCTAGGAAAGGTTGGAGGGAGGGGGTAAAAGAGGTTTTGTGTGCGAGGGGCTTGGACTTCCAGCGGGCATGCGTGAGCGTGTTTGATAGGAGTGAATGGAGAGAAATGGTTTTTAATACTTGACATGCTGTTGGAGTGTGAGCAAAGTAACATTTATGAAGGGATTCAGGGAAACTGGCAGGCCGGACTTGAGTCCTGGAGATGGGAAGTACAGTGCCTGCACTCTGAAGGAGGGGTGTTAATGTTGCAGTTTAAAAACTGTTATGTAAAGCACCTTTCTGGCAAGACAGTGATGGAGTGAATGATGGTGAAAGTTTTTCTTTTTCGGGCCACCCTGCCTTGGTGGGAATCGGCCAGTGTGCTAATAAAAAAAAATATATTACTATCCCACCCTCTCCAATCAGGACACAGTGTGGGCTATACTGAAGCTGAATATATATTTACCTTGTAATTACAGCTTAATGATACAGTTTAATGGTGAATCCTGGATGAATATCAGAAGAGTCTACTAAGCCATTCTGGGCAGATCATAACAATCACCTACTCCCACTCATGTACCAGTTTGGCTTATTTTTGAAGTTATGCAAAGTACTCACTCACTTATGTTACTTGGCAGTTTGTTTCATGGCCTTTTTCTTGCATTCTCACTCTTTATTATATGTATTTCTTATGAGTCACCAGCAAACATGGTCCAAGTAGGACCAAAATGTTGTCACAAGTTTCTTTCTCCTATGTGCAAGTTACTGGTCTATTGTTCCAGTCACAGTATTGTTCTTTTTTTCTTTCCCCACTATTAAACATAGTTATTGTAAAATTATAACCATGATATACATTTTGCTTTGCAGTGTAAGGTATGATGTAGTGCTACGAATGAAACCTAGGTTAAGCTATCAACAGACAGTAATTTCCTCTTCCAACTATTTATATATTGGTTACTTATTTAACTCAAATATGAAAGGAGATGAAAAATTATGTGGAAATTGGTAATTCATTATAAAATTTAACCTTAATTAATATGGGGACTATATTTTTAGTAATGTATCCAATGCAATTATCAGTAAGCATTGTTTACCATCAACTAACCTTGGACATGGTATTTCCTGTTTTGATATAGGCCATTTATCTGATTTAAATTTGGTATGGGACAGAAGAACTCATGGAAACTGGTAAGTCATATAAAATTTATCTTTAAAACACTCAAGAAGCTTGTACACAGCTTAAATACTGTTTAATAATACACAAAAATTTATAGGGTTATTACTAATCACTGTTTAGTTTTTCTAAATAAAACATGATGCATCAGACTCGTCATACAGGAAAAAAGCTATTTTCACCTTTTATTGGCTCAGCTAAAAGAAAAAATTATGGCCCATCCATTTTTAAATGCTTGGTGTGGGATATCAAATTTCTGGCTTAACAGGTTTCGGGTTAATGGGATTTGACTGTTCTGTATAATATAATTCAAAGTATGACTGAAGTTCACAGGTTAATGTCAATAAAAATTAACTTGATCAAATATGGACAAGATGGTGAATAAGACACAGCAATCAAATAAAATCACTTATTAGTTAAAATGCCCCGATCTACACCTACATGACCACTACTGCTGCTCCTCCATTACACATCAACCTGACCACTACTACTATCTCTCTTGTTTCCCTGTGCAAGTCTCCTTTCTCATGTCTTTGTATCTGATTGATAAAGCCCCTGACTGGCAAAATATCTCTTAAAAATATCCAGGTGTTGCACATGTGTCTTATTCACCAAAAATTAACATATACAATACACTTTCAAATTAAAACTACTATATTTAAACAAACATCTCCATATGGCTTAATGAGCACTTAAAAAAAAAGTACAGGCAACCCCCAAGTCACAACTGTCTAACTTACTCTCCCCTGCATTTATGAACATTTTACCCCTGGAGAAACAGTTCATAGAAAAATTAAATTTTAAGAGTATGACCCAAGTTTCCCTGACTGGAACCCCCCACTATAAAAGTACATCTGTGGAAAATAGCAGTTTGATTTACAATGGTGCAACTGATGGTAGCTCTCCCAGAACCAATTAGGTCGTCAGTGCAGGGGTCGCCTGTATTATGTGTGACTTGTCTCATGCTGTGGCATTAAAACCTGTTGCTCTGCTAAACTCACATGTGATAAATTGCACAGTACAAATATTCTGAGCAACATACTTGTTCTTGCTGTAGGAAATATGGCAGCTGATCACATCATTGGACTGATGCTGCAACCACAATGTAATTAATTCATGCAAACCATTTTTCTTTGTTCTTTTATTTGTGACCAATAATAGGAATGAAGCATGATACAGTAATCTACTTATAATACTCATTATACTGGTTTATGGAACAAACCAAAATCATACTCGGTGGGTATACGAAGAGCATTCTTAGACTGGCCATGTTCATGTGATGCAAGCCTTCTTTAACCAGTGTGAGCCATCACTAAGTCACCAAACACTTCAACCACTCAAATCATGTTTCTTTTACCACTGCTTGGGACAACAATAATTCTGGCTGGAGAATGTGACAACTACAGTTTTACAATGCTGGTCTGAAGTGACTGAGCTCAGATGCATAAAAAATATACCATAAACAAAATATCCATGACACACTTACATAAAACATTGCGGAATGAAAGAGCTTTTGTACATCTGTTAGATAAACTACAAAGTATCATTTTTACCTCCTAAGCAAAATTTTTTTTAGGAATTTATGACAATATATTATGGAGGCTAACAAAATACACAATATACAACACAAAACAGATCACAGCTTGGAAAAATGGCCTATATCTCTCATTTTTGAATTACAATATTAGGTTTCTTTTTTTACTACCAAGTCATTTCATTAATAATTATAAAAAATCATGGAATGATCTGAAAACATTTCCAAACTTATTATATACACTGTCATCTAAAAATAAAATACAAATAAAAATGAAGTCATGAAAAGAAATTCTTGTCCTTGATAGCACTGACAGACACCCTTGAGTATTGCATATGTAAGCATATGTATAAATAATAAATATTAACAAAAGTGCAAACAACTCTATCAATAACTATGCACTCAATGTGTAACCTATGAGATTCTTTTTTCTTGAGTAATTATTTTTGATACTGATGCTAAAAATATTGCAGTTTTACATTTTTATCAAAATTATAGACAACTCAAAATGTGTACATTGCCTATGTTTATACAGTATTTTTTCTTCATAAACTTCCTTGTTTATTAACATTTTCTCTTCAAATTATTAATACTATTTTTTGGACTTTACATGTGACATTAAATATTAAATTTTCATTGTACACTCATTTTATATACTGTAATATGCTCCATATATATGTACAACTATCCTTAACATTGGTGTTCTATGTGAGCAAGTTTTCACTGCTCTTTTGGAAAGCTAAAATTATCAAAAGGTTCCTCCCAGAATGGGTCAGCATCAGTTTTACCAGATGGTGCATTATCACCAATTTCATTTTCTGCACTGAAAAAATCATCAGCAAAGGGATCGCTGTTTCGGCGGAAGATGTTCACCGATTCTGACTTTTTCATGTCTGAGCTAGGAATGACATAACGAGCAGAGACTTTAAACTCTGGCTCCTCACTGGGAAACACATCATCAAGAACAGCATCTTCACTTGATACAGGGGTCCTTCCAGGGGTACTGAAAGTTTGGTTTTGGATAGGTTGTTCACTACTCATTTCATTTTCAGTTTGTTGAAAGGCATTTTCAAAGTCAGCAAAATGCATTTCACTTTCACTTCCTTCCACTTTGTCTTGCACTTTACTGAGCTTAACACTGAATGGATCACTTTCTACAGCTTCACTTGATGCTGTAATGTCTTGTGGAAGGCTAGGAAATGCATTATCAAAATTAACTTCTTCAGCTACACTACCAATAATTGAACTAAAATTATCCTCAAATGGGGAATGTCTAACATCACTTCCTTCGCTTCCCACACTTAGCCGTGAAGGGCCACGACTCCTGTGTGGTCTTGCAGAGGTTGGAGGTGTGAAGCTGTCACCGAAGGGAGACTTCCTATTTTCAGAGCCTGAACGGGAAAGCCGTCCATGATCTACAGATGCTTTACGGGCATCATGATTAAAATCATCATCAAACGGAGATTCATGGGGAAGGCTTCTCTGCTCTTCATGAATAGAATGTAATGAACCGATAGATTTTTGGTCATCATATGGTGTATTTCTATGAGATCCATGCCAGGAATCATCAAATGGAGAGCCTCTGGGATCTCCTTGCCTTGTGAGACGACTGACCTCGCCCTCTAGAGATGGCTCTCGTTCGCTTTCAACCTCTTTGAGAACTTCATAACGATCACCTCGGTTTGTGAAGTCATCATCAAATGGACTTTTTCTTTTACTAACTGAGGTATCTGTTGGTGGTTGCAGAGCATTCTCTCTGTCAATGGGAGTTTTTCTTGAGGTGTCAATACTGCTTCTTGAAGAGCTCCGAGGCTTAGATTCAATAGTTGTAAAGGGATCATCAAATTTATCTCCAGTGTCACCAAAACTTGAGGCAAATCCACTGTCATCCACTTGTTCCATTCTCTTGGGGTCTACAAAATTATCAATAAAGGGAGACCTAAGAGAATCTTGTCTGGATATCCGTTCATTACTCGGCAGATCTTGAAAGTTTGAATATTTTTCTACTTCAGAGGCTAATGGAACAAAATTATCATCAAAGCTTGCAAAAGATGTTTCAGATTCTGGCCTGGTTCTTCTACCAGAGGTCTGTTTAGATAAATTACCACCAGTGTGAATTGAAGTACTGAAATCATCTGTAAATGGTGATTTCTGGGCATCAGTTTGTTGCCTATGTGGTCTTGGGCTTGTATGTCTCTGATGTGTTGGAGAGTTGACAGGAGTGAGGCTCTTTTCACTCATTGTGGCAGCTGAAAAGTCATCATCAAACTTGGCATCAAAGGCCGGCTCAAAATTATCGTACTCACTGATTTCAGGACTTCTGAAAACTGTAACACATTCAAGGTCATGGTTTGGAGGGTGCCAGTCCTTGTCTTTCTCCAATTCTACAGCATCACCATCATCACTAAGGGAAGACTTATGCTCCAGGGAATCATGTTGAAGTTCACCATCAAAATTTGCTTTAAATGTGCCAGAAGAAACTTCAGATACTTCTTCCTCCATGGAATTTTGTGGCGTTAAGAAATTTTCATCAAATACAGATTTCTGCTTAGTAACTGTTGTTAATTCCCTAAATACAGCATATCTGTCTTCACTAACTGGTGCTCCTACAGCATGTGCCACATGATCAGAACTTCCACTAAATTCTGGAGGTTCTACTGGGCTCTTAGGAAACTGGGCATCAAATTCAGCAAACATTTCATCCTCACTAAATGCAAAGCGCTCCTTGCTTTGATCTCGGCTGAGACCTCTAGACCTCCGAGTAGGTTTGTCTGGGGGACCTGCATATGTTTGTATATCCCCTTTAGCCTGATCCTCTAAATCACCACCTTGTCTTAGTTGAAGCTGTGCTAAACAAGCTGCCAGCTCAACTACTGTCATCCTCGCTAGCTGTTCCACCGGCATATCTAAACTAGCTGCCAACTGGTCTAAGCTGGTATTTGCAAGGTCAACTGATACAGTGCTCTTCTGTATAAGTTTAGGAGATTTACCAGGAGTTGATAATTTGCTTGGGGTAGATTCTCTGGAGCTTTTAGGTACAGCTCCTGTGAACTCATGAGTAGGACTAATGCTTGGTTTTGGAAATTGGAAACTATCAGGGTGAGGTTTAGTACACCGACTGGGGATAAATGCTGGCTGAGACGCAGAGTCAGGGTAGCGAGGTTTTCTGGCAGGTATTGGAATGGGTGGAGTATTTGCTTCCTCTGGGGAAGAGTCATATTCATTGATGTAATTATAATGAGCATCAGATGTTGGAGGTGGACGTGGAGGAGGTCGCAAGGTAACATGAGTAGGCTGTCTCTTGGGTGGAAGAGGCGGAGGTTCTATATGAGCAGGTCTAGGTGGTGGCTTGGGTGCTTCCTCGTAACTGAGATTAAGATCATCTGTAGGAAAAGGCCTACTCTCTACTTCTGGAGATGAAAATTGCTCAACATCACTGTACCTACCGTGAGAAGGCCGTAACGATAATGTGGCAGAACTGGCACTCAGCTGTTTGGACAAGTGAGATCTTGGTCTGGGCCTGGGGCTAAGACCTCCTTCACTTTGCATCTGAGGAGGAGTTGGAGGTGTTAGTTCACCACTAGTAAACCCTTGAGAATGCTCCATATCTCTTGTGTCCCATTCATTTTCAAAGCTTGATTGTTTCCTAAACTTATGGCTACGAGGCAGAGTTTTTGGACTTAGTGAGGAGGTTGCAACGATCATGTGCTTGCTTAAGCGAGTTCGAGGAATAGGGGAGCGATGGGGATGATGCAATTGTGGAGAACCAGCACCAGAGGCCATTCTTGCAGGAGACCTTGGTACTGGAGGTGGAGAAAATGGTGGAGGACTATCTCGGAATGATTCAGGAGGCAGGGCTACAGTTAATGGCCCACATGGCAAGGGTGGGGGAGGTTCATCAGGTATACTGCTCGACACTTCTGACCTTTGGCTTCTTGGTGAATCATTTGGAAATGTATTAAAATCAGCAAATCCTGAGGATGAAAAATTAGATGCCTCATAGAAATCTTTTTCTGAGGCTTGTTGGAAATGGAAGTCCTCCTGTCCAAAAGAATCTGGAGGACTAAAAGACTCTGTAAATGAATGAGAAGACAGAGAAGTACCATGAACTGGTGTAATGTTGGTAGATGCAGAATGTCTTGAAGCTGTTACACAAATTGATCTGGGTGTAGTGGCATAGAGAGATGTTGAAGCAACTAATGCAGAAACTTCAGGAGGAATCATTCCTGGCTGTGTTCGAGGGGAACACGGTGCTGAAGCCTCCCCATCACCCATTTCACGTAAAGGGCGTCCTACTGGCTTACGCATGTCACTAAAAAAGTCCCGTTTGTCAATGTATGGACGATTTTTTCCAGTACCAAGCGGGTCTAAGTCAGTAAATACATCATACTGAGCATCTTTATTGCCAGAGGGCCCAGAAGAGTCAGAGAACTCTGCTTTTGACCACTGAGCATCAAACTCATCCGTCTGGTGAAGACTGGATGCACCACTGACTTGAGATTCTTGTCCTTCGCAAAACCTTGCATCACTAAAATCATTAAATGACCCATTATTCACATTAGTAAATTCTTTAAAAGCTGCATATCTATCTTCCTGAGACTCCCCCGTTTGTGATACTTGCCTTGCAGGTTCATTTTGAGCTGGTGGGGGAGATTTAGTCACATCTGGAAATGTCACAGGGAACTTTCCAAACTCTTGACTACTCTTCTGCTCTGCGCCTCCTGTGGCAGTCGCCTGTTGTTGCTGCTGAGCTCCATGGTGTGAATCATGCCTGGTTCTGCCAGAGATAGGAGGAGGAGCCAAGGGAGCAGGTGTAGGTGCTGTACTTGCTGTAATTCTAGGTTTGCTTGTATCAGGTGGAGGAAAGGTGGGCTTGAAGGAATCACCAAAGGGGTCAAACTGCTCACTCTCCTGCAAAAAGTGTTATCAAAGGAAATAATTAAATATCTTAGAAAACTAGAACTTCCATTAAAAGACTATATAACAGAAAATAAAAACTCTAAAGCTTTACTACAACGTTTACTAACCTATAAATTCAGATTGTTTTTTTTTATAAAGGACTATAAATAGATCTTCAGAATGAGTATTTCAACAAATTTAGAATTGAAAACTATAGTAAATGTTAATCTTTCTGCATATTTTAATAAAAACTGTCTATTAAATTATTTACAACTATTGGAATATCTTTGACTTAGAGAACCATTACAGAACCACAACAGCTCTTATTAAAGATATATGTAATGCTGGAAGAATTAAATTCTGCCTTAATAATAGCATCTTTGACCACTGTATATATATTTCAGTATAACATTCCAGTATTCATCTTAGTGAATTTTTAAAATGAAACTAAAGCTGAATCCTACAAGGTACATAAGTATAGCATCGTTCTTAGTGCATAGTGATTTTTCTTTGACAATTATTAAGAAAACCAAATTATCTGAATGCGAAATTTCTTATCTTATAATCAAGATCCTAATTAATAAATGAAGTAAGCAGAGTGTGAATTTTTACATTTAAGGCTGGGATGCAATGCCTTGTCTGGATCTGGGTGACTTGCCAAGACAGAACCCTGTCCAGGGTTAGACTGTATTACTTAGCTGTATATCCCTTTACTCAGTAATCCCACATAACCATTCACCTCTTTCCTCTACTCTCAAGATAAATTTATACAATAATTCTAAGTTCTATGCTCACTCACACTGAACAAAAACATCTTATCAAGCTCATAGTGTACAAAAAAAAAATTGCAACTACAGCATATACATATATTGTATATTTTTTAACCCTTTCAGGGTCCAGAGGCCAAATTTCAAAGTGTGCACCAGTGTCTTAAGAATTTTCAAAAACTAATTTTGTTATTCTTTCTTATGAAATGGTACAGATTTGTTTACCAAGCGTTTGGTAGGAGAGTCAAAGAATTACGTTTTCTCTAGTCAAACACCAGTAACTCAACTAGAAATTTATTCCTTTCATATGCCTTCACTATATCTATAGCTATTCATGACCCTTGTGGGTTTAGTGTGTCTTTTTTTAGTATTATAATAATAACAACTTGTAATAATAATTTGTAAAAATAATGATAATAATTTGTCAGAGCATCATTCCTTCTAAAATTTACATGAGAATGGAAGTGTTGGTCTTTATTTATTCTACTGTATCAACATGGAGACAACTTGTACACACTGTAAAGTGTTTGTATTATGGTATAATACAAACGTGTATGAACAAACAGACGTGTTTGCCTGGTTTGTTTACATTACGTGTGGGTGAGGTGGGGCGGGGAGAGCTGCCTTGGCTAGCTACCATACTTCCCAAACCTGACTTTCTACAAATAAAACTCACCTCTCACCCTACATTAAGAATTCAAATATTTTAAAGTAATTAATGAATGTACTGTATATGTATTTTATCGCTCTGGGGCACTTTAATTAAATGTTGTAGCATATTACAAGTGGGTGGGGTGGGGTGGGCTGACCTGGCTGGCTGCCATACCTCCCAAACCTGACTTCCTACAAATAAAACTCACCTCTCACCCTACATTAAGAAAACAACTATTTTAAGGTAAGTAACAAGTGTACTGTGTATTTATTATACTTTTTATTGTTTTTAATGCCTAGTTGTATTGCTAACTTAATATATGTTAGTGTAAACTAGTTATCTGGCATTTATATGCATTTATAAGTAGAAAAAATGGTGTTCTGCTTTCCAGCGATGTCTGCTTTCCGGCAGTAGCCTGGAACCTAACCTGCTGTATAAGTGGGGCCCTACTGTATTGGTAATCTACCACTCTTCACTTGTTTAAACTTAAGTAGTCTTCAAGTATTGGGTTAAGTCTGCCCGAAATGCCTTAGCATGATACTGGCTTTCTTTGTACCAATCAAATTATGAAATGTAAACACACACTGTAACCTTTGCAAAGAAATAACTATTTGATTTGATTTGATTTAAACTAGCAAGCAAAATCCCAGCCTCAAATACTTCACTGGAAACTACCCTAATACTCTATATCTAGCTCCTTCTAATCCTACCGAAGTCTCACTTATCATTAAAAAACTAAAAAACAAGGCAGGAGACCTAAATAACTTGCCACCATTCGTGCACAGAAAAGCAGCTCATGTGCTTTCACCCATTATTGCAACTCTGTTTAACAAATCAGTGGAATCTTCAACCTTCCCATCCATACTCAAGACAGCAAGAGTTACCCTGATCCTCAAAGGAGGTAATCCAACTGAACTGAACAACTACAGGCCTATATCAAACTTGCCCTTACTATCTAAAATCTTTGAAAAATAATACATAAGTGAGTTTACTCCTACCTAATATCTCACAACATACTTAACCCCTGCCAGTTTGGGTTTAGGATGAAAAAATGTATGAATAATGCAATTATACAAATGTTCGAACTACTATGTGCAGCACTGGAAAAGATTAATATCCTCTGGGGCTCTCCATAGACCTGCAGAAAGCATTCGATACAGTCGACCACAATCTCTTGCACCTTAAACTAGGACATTACGGGGTCAGAGGACATTCCCTTGAATACCTACAATCTTATCTTAGCAACAGACACCAGTATGTCTCCACAAAGGGTGTAACCTCAACTAACCCCAGGGATATGTTTAAAAGACAATATTCAAAATAAAGTTGCTAGTAAAGGCAAAGCAATTGCTCAACAAAGAGAGATAGTAGAGGGCAACAAGTGACTAGCTCCCTTATTAAGGTTTACTATACAAATATTAGGAGTACTAAGAAATAAGATAAATGAGCTAAGATTACTTGCAAGTGCAGGTAATATAGATATTATTGCTATAACAGAGACCTAGTTCAACTTGAAAGATAGAAATGCCTTCTGAATGCAACATACAGGGTTATAAACTTTTCCCCACACTGTAGGGTAACAGGAGGTGGTGGTGGGATTTGTCAGAGAAAATTTAAATTTTTGTTTGCAAGTGTAGATTAGAAACACGGCCAAATCTTTTGGCACAGTGGGGGTCTTAAGGGGGGGGCCGGGGGTGACACCTTTTAACCCTTTGACTGTTAGGCCCCTCTCTGAAACGTCATTCTATGTCCCCAAATTATTCGAAAAAAAAAAATTATTTTTTTAGAAATGTTGGAATATTTTTAGTAGTTTTTTTAAGCCTAAAAAAAAATTTTGCCATCATACTTACCGAGAAAAGAGCCACAAAGTTTGCAAAAGTGACTGCATTGGAAACGCGGTGACCCCGCCCCCGGGGGTATTCTTTTATTTACTCTTTTTAAAAGGGTTTTCTTGCTTTTTTTTCAATATTTTTCTTTTCCCCGGTAACTTAGTGGCCTGTGGCCCAAATGAAAGGTGCTTTTTTCAAAATACATCATTATTTAAACACAATAACAAAACAAACTTTATCACATTAGTTTGTGTAACTTTTTGTTTAAAAACAAACAATACAAACAATTTTTTTCTATTTTCCATTATATATACATGTACATATGTACAGCCCCAAAACCCCGTTCCAGAATGTGCGCTTTTGGAACTTTTTAAAACAGGGGTTTATTGCAGAGGGGGCATTCACACTCCTCACCATAAAACGAGTGTCTCTGCTTTTTTTGGGGGGCGTTTTGTGGTATGAACATCATAACACCTTTCAGCTTTTTTCTTGGCAGTAGAGGGGCATTTGTAGGGGTAGTGACACCGGGCTAAAACGGATGACGTGTGTGGGGCGCTGGTCTTTGCAGGGTTTGCTCCTTGGTATTTGGAATTTATTTGGTCTGATTACTGAGGGGCAAAAATTCAAATTTTTTGGGGTGTTTTTTTGGTCTTCAACTTGTATATGTTATAAGCTTTTTAGCATAGAGAAAAACAAAAAAAAAAAATTTTTTAAATTAAAATAACTCTTGCGTCACAGTCTGCAAAACCAATCGTGTCATTTTTCCCCTAAGGCTTTGAGGTTTAGTCCGACGTGCGGCTTTTGAAAGGGTTCATTGGTCTTCTGTTTTCCCTGCCACTGGGCCATTTCGTTTCTGTGAATGATGTCAACAATGTGAAATCACGTTTGTCTGCCCCCAAAATGCCATGATGTCTTGGCAGCAAACTTTCACCTCACCCCGGTGAGGCCAGCGTTTAACCTTGGGATATGTTTAGATTCCACGCCTGTGCCACACAGTCTGTCAAATTCACCGCAAGAAAACACTGAGTAAGGGTTTGTACCAGTTATCAGTAAATAACATATCCCCCCTTTCAAGATATGGTTCCATCTTGTTCCCAAAACCCCCCCACCAGAGATACCCTAACTTCGGTATCTCTCAAAATATTACTGCAGTGTACACAATTTATCCAAAAAAGGGCCACTTCTGCAATCACACAGTACAAAAGCATACCCAAACGTTTCTTCTTGCTTTGGATATATTGCTTGAAAGAGAGTTTCCTTTTAATAAAATCAAAGGGTCATCAAAACAAGCTTTTTTAAGGGATAAAAATACTGCGCTTTGGGGTTTAGGTCTAAACTTTCTGAATATAATGGCGCTTCGTCAGGCCTGGTTTTGTTGAAAAGTGAAAAAGAACAGTATAGGGGAAAGATTGAACCTTAATGTAATAAAACCCGGGTTGAAATAGGGCGTTTAATGTGGGAAATTTGCTTATACACATTGAAAGAATTTTGGAAAAAAAGGAATCCTGCCCCAGTTGCTCCCCCTTGTGTGCCCCGGGTTTTGGTGAGAGAATTGTATTTGCCAGGGTAAAAATATGTGTTTGTTTCCCTACATGAGTTCATCGGGGGTTCATCGAAGATAACCAAGACCCGTTCACTGGCATTGTTCCCAAGTGGAAAAGATGGCTTTATTCCACTTTGTGTTTCATCAAAGTCCTGGGGACTGGAACAAACTCGTCACCGTCCTGCCAATCCCAGATGCGGTCTGCTGGTGGGGTTGGATAT